ATGGTGATAGAGAGTAGCTAGACGTTTCATGGTGATCATTTCATGATGTATATAAATATTGAATCTCTGTGTTGTATACTTAAAACTAATATAATATTTTATGTCAAGTATACTTCTTTTTTAAAAAAGATTTATTTATTTGAGAGAGAGAGAGAGAGAGAGAGAGAGACAGCACAGGCAGGAGGAGGGGCAGAGAGAGAGGGAGAAGCAGACTCCCTGCTAGGGCTCCAGATTTGGGGCTTGATTCCAGGACCCTGAGATCATGACTTGAGCTGAAGGCAGCTGCTTAATGAATTGATCCACCAAGGCACCTCTGTCAAAGAATTGACATATTTATATTATAAAGAATATAATCTGTAATAAGTCTTAGTGTTTTTTGTAAAATCAGCAATCTTGAAAGTTAAATTTTTTGAGTAATATATTTAAAATGTTAATAGTCATCTTTGCAAAATAGTCATCTTTGCAGATTATAATATTTTAATTAAAAAATACACTATAGTTAAAGTACCTGGTAAATTCAGAAACCATGCTGTTAAATGGAGATTATTATAAATACTACCTTTTTATTTAAATGTGTAAATATTCCATCTGAAATAAGTTCCCATGTACTTTTTTTTCTTTATTTAGAGAATTTTCTTTGGCAGTTAAGACAAATAAGTTTTTAAATAAGTTCGTTTATGATTCTTAACTGTTGTCAAACTACATTGCTATAAAATCATAGGGCTTTCTGATTTTCGTTCAATTTTTATATAGATGATCAAATTATCCACTTAAAAATAGTGAGGGAGAGAGAAAGAGAGGAGGAGACAGAGAGGGAATTTTGATAACTATAGGGCCCATTTATATTGGTAGGATGTTGTAGCTTTACGGGAAGAATTATGAATTCTATCTAATTACTATAACTAATTCCAAGAGCATCCTACTACAAAGCTTTTTTTAATTTACAAAGAGCACTGATATGACAATGTGTTCCATCAAAATTTGGATTTTTATTTCAGAAAAATATAATAAAAATAATTTTAACTTTAATAATAAAAATAATTTTAACTTTAATGTTTAACTTTTGAACCAAATTTATAGTAGCATTCATAATAATGTCAAATGTTTTTCTTCAACTGAATGTGATTACAAATCTTTGTATTATATAAAAGATATCAGAACACTATAGGAATGAACTTATTTTTTATTTAAAACATCTATGACTTTGATAAAAATCTAGTATTCTTCAACCCTTTGTAGAATTCTAATGCTGATAACCTATTAATAGTTATAGTTTTACTTTTTGTCTATATATGACAATGTCAAACAGAAAAACCAAAAATTAATGTAAAAATTGTTTGATATAAATGAAAAGTTATGCTTTATAGAGTGATAAGTAAACATACCTTTTGAAACTATGTATGTTAAATTGTTATTTTTTCATCCTAGAGTTCTTAAATAAAATAGTTATTACTATCTTTTGAAATAACAGATGGATCATCCTTTAACATATTTGTGCCTTCTGGTTTTTATATCCTTATATCACTACAGCTGTAAGAGGAGAGTGTAGGTAAACATCTTGTGCATGTTACATGTTCAAAATGATATTTCATGAGAAATGGAAAATTGTTATTTAATTCTTTATTAACTTGTATTTTTGTTTTCTTAGAGTTCATTGCTGCCCAGTGTCATTAGAGTTCATTCAATTTCATTGCAAATGAATTTTTTTTCATTGAAAATGTGGGAATAAAAAAGTAATTGTAGATAGTTTTAGATTTACACTATCTAATATATGAAAAGTATAACGGGGGGGTTGAAATATTCTTTATGAACTATACAACAGTGCAATTTGGTCTATATTTGCTGCATACATTTCATGCATTATTAATTTACTACTTTTCCTTCTGAACACTGGTAGCTCTAGTAACTTCAAGTGTTATAGATTTCAGGACTCTTCCCACCATCATCAGAGACTGGATGGTGTTAGTGGTCTCTAGCTGCTTAGACCCTAACTTACTTCATTTTATCACCAGCCTATGTTCTATCCTGAAGGGAGGTATTAATTATCTTGTGCTTGGAATGGGTCAGGGAAAAAGAGTTGGTTTATCACTTGTTTCTTTCAGAGATAGCAATACATTATATTTGAGGCAGTTTACCAGAGTAATATGTAATTAAAATTGTGATGGGTTTATAAAAGAAAAGAACAGGGTGTTAGGAGAAAGAGTAGCAGGGGATAATTTAGAATAAAGATCAGAGTGCTGGAGTCAACATACTTTAAAAAAAAGAACATAAAATATTCCCAATTTCGAGTTGAAATAAAAAAAATTGAGAATGACAGAGAAGAATTTTTTTTATGAAAGATGTTACATTTCACAGTAAAGATCTGCTGTGATTCTCTATACTTAACAGAGCATAATTTCAAAATCATTTTTTGAATTGTAGGAATTATAAAAAATATTGAAAGATTTGAAATATTGAAAGATTTGAAATTATCTCTTAGACCTAAAAAATCGAGTTGACAAAACCTGTAAACATACAATAAGAGGAGAATGTAATGAAGGCTTAAACCAGCATAAGCTATGAACAAGACATTAAATGTTTTAATGCTTTTTAATGATGATTCAGTGTTCATGATATTAAGTGAAAAAAGCAGAACACAAAACTATACATATAATGTCAACTTAAGTATGCACATATATGTGGATCTATATCAAATGTAAATATTTTAAAGGAAACAGTATCAAACTACTATGGCATTTTTTTGGTTGGAGTTTGGGTGATTTTGTATTTTCTTTCTTTTTTTTTTTTGTACTTACTGTGGTATAATAAATGACAGTCATGATCAGAGTAAATACTAGGTTATCTTTTTTTAATAGGAAGGATCATAATAGTTAGTTCTTTTAATAAACATAGACATCAGGATAAAGATACCAAAGTTTTGTTTACCTGTACAGTAGATCGATTGTGAAAATGAATCCAATTCTCACACTTCTCTTTATCAGCATGCTTTACAATCTGTGTTTGAGTCTCTTCTCATTAAGAAATGGTGTCTCCTCACCTTAAATTGAGGCTGTCCTTTGACTAATTTTAACAAGCTGAAGTGGGACTCAAAAAGTCTTGAATGTTTCTGCTCTTTTGTTTTTCTTTTCTTGACCTGGCTTTACCCTGAGAACACACTTGAGCTAGCACATTGGTGGGACGTGAGAGGCACATGGAGAAGAGTAGCCAAGAATCAGCCAATTACATAGATTTGAGAGGCCCCAGTCAAGATCAGCAGAACCAACAATCCAACCCATAGCTCAGTGCAGACCTATTAGTCAAGGCCAAAAGGACCGCAAAACCTATCCGTAGCTTTGTGAGCAATAATAAATTTTAAGACATTGAGTTTGGGGGTAGTTTATTATATAATTTATTGTGGCCACAGATAACTGAGATAGACATTCATACTTGACAGAGGGTGCTATGGTAACAGAAACTTGAAAGGTGTTAGCGTTCAGACAGGTTGTAGGTGGGGGCAGGAAATGCTAAGCAAATTGTGAACAAGGATGGGGAACATGGTAAGGAATTGTAATTGGAGTCTGAAAAAATGATGATCCGTGTAATGCCATCACAAAAGACTTGACAAAACTGTTTCCTGCAGTGACTTGGAAGATGGAAAGCGTATCTAATGAACTTTTGGATTTGCCTAAGGAGATCCCCAGGCAGAATGTTGAGAGTGTCAGTTGGGTTTTCTTAATTGTGTATAGTACAACAAGAAAGTGATGAACTAAGAAAAGCCTGGCCATCTCCAAAGTAGAATTTAGAAGTAATATGAGAGAGAGAGACTTATGGGTTGCAAATAGAACAGTTTCTCATCTGTGGTCCCTCCAGTCAGGAAGAGATTATCAAAGTAAAATATAGCCTCCAGGCCTAGATCAAATCATCAATATGGCTTAAGACACTTTGTTAAGACCTCTGAAGGAATTAAGAAAGTGCTTAACTGGTCCCCTCAGGTAGACGAAAGGGCTGGTAGGAACAAAGAGTGTCTCCCACAATTATCTAATATGCCCCCAGTGAGTGTGATTAGAAAGAATTTGTTGAATGGAACAGATGCAAATTACATTATTTGAAAGCCCACAAAAGTGTTTTCAGGAGTTGTACAGGCAATAGTGGCTTCATCATCCTGGCTCCAAAGATACTGAGATTATTCAAGATGTACAAACACTTCAGTCCCCATCCTCCTCAGAAAGGAAAGTCCACTAAAAAAGATATTCAGTAGGATATAAGTTCCCCTGATCTATTCAGAATGGGTAAAGTGAGAGATGGAAAAGGAAGGAGGCCTCAGGAACTGGAAAGGATGGACTAGGAATCCTGTCCTAGGGGCAGAATGGATGCCAAATCTGGGGACATTCTCTTCTTCCGGTGTTAGAGCACCTTCAACATTTACCCAGTTAGATTTCAGAAGTTTTAAGGTACAGAGAGCTCTGGATGCCTCCTATCCTTGTCTCTTGAATGACAGTGCTGTTTAATGCAGTGTTCCTGTCCTTGTCACCATTGTAATTTTCCTGTTCTCACCGTTGTATGCTGAATGCAAATGTTTAAGTACAGATAACTTGTGTTTTGGTCTATAAGTATCTAATTGAAACGTGCCACATCTGAAGAGCCTTATCTAGACTTGATGTAGGTATCTTAAAACGTATGATAACCTATGACAATATGATAATGGGAAGAAACTTTGGGGAGCCTTCGTAGGGAGGGGAGGGAGTGTAATTTGCATTTGAGAAGCATATGAAATTGAGAACAGAGTGGAATAGTTGTAGACTGATAGTAAACATGGCCCCAATTCTTCACCCCTCATTAAAACTGCACCTTTTCAATATGACCTTGAGATCCTCTCATCAAAAGGTGGAGTTGATGTCACAATTGCTTGAATGTTGATAGGCTTTGTAACTTTGTTTTACAAATCAAATACAGCATAAATAATTATTAGTTCCTAGCCTACCCTTCAAGGGGCTTACACACTTCTACTTTCTTTTTCTTAGACCTCTGTCTCACCATATGAACATCCTGGGCTGATTTGCTGGAAGGATGTGACAAATACATAAAGAGCTACACCCGCCAATTCCTGGCAGCGACCGAACACTTGATCAGCCAATATTAGAAGAATGACCCTCCCCAACACAGCTAATGGTAGGTCTGTGAGTGAACCTAGCAGAAGTCACAACTGTCCAGCTGATCGACAGATCTGTGAGTAGTAATATACTTACTGTTTTAAGGTTCTGAATAGTAGGGTGGTTTGATACACAACATTAACATAACAATAGATAACTGACATAGCCGGCTGTGGTAATTCCCAGTGAATGTCCTTGAATCATGTATTGCAAATTTCAAGTTCCTGATCATTAATGGAGTGACTGGAAATTAGATGAATTCCTTTTTTAAAAAAAAAGAAAGAATTGCTCTTCTTAGAAGTAGAAAGACAATTAATGGGATCCCCAATGCTGTTGTATAGATGCAGGTGACACTGAATTTTCTTTCTATTCTGAATTCTGACAAGTCACTTGGAAGTGAGAAGAACATAAGAGAGGTAGGTACCTCTGGGGAATTACTTTGGTAGCCAAGCAAGGAAGACACTGAGGTAGCAGACAGCTGCCACTGTGATGGAAGCCATGGGGACTTAACCAGACCCTGAAAATCTGTTTACAAGATCAGGGACTGTTGACAGTTGAGAGAAATGTTTTCATTATTTTTATCATAATAGAAAAAGAGAGAAGAATCAAAAGTTTTAATATTTAAGGTAACTTTTCCCAAAGAGGAATAATCATAGGTTTTATATGAAAACAGAGCTCTGTGGTCAGGAAACTTTGGAAAACACTGGGTCAAACAAAGTGAAACACATTTTTTTTTTTAACTGCAGGACTTCCCAGACTCTTTACTGTACCATTTGTATTGTGAATCCCCCAAAGGAACATAAAGCATGCAATATTCTCGGAGTTTATTTGACCATAGGACTCCTTTTTTCACAGGGTATTTTGTAGGATTATATTTTCACCAAGTACACTTTGGGGAATGCTGAGTTCATGGTTTGTAGAGTGTGTAATTTTTACTTCCTTTTGTAAAGTTTTAAAATCTTCTCTATGAAGCTAACCTTTTTACCAGTGTTTTAATGTTCATACTTACTTGATTGAAAACAACAACAACAACAAAGAACTCCAAAAACATAACCTAGTGAAAAATGATGCCATTATATTCATGATCATTATTATTTTTTTGGTTCTAAGTTTCTATAATGTGATGTCACATGTTTTAACGTTTGTTTTTAATTATTGGTCAAAATAATGATAATAACTTTTATAAGCATTCACCTGTCAAAAAACTTACCATATGTCAGGTACTATGTGAATTGCTTTGCATATGTTGTCTATGTTGTCGGAATTACAGTTATACTATGTTTAAAAATGATGAAATTGAAGCTTAGAGAACTATGGCCATGCCACAAATCAACTTCTTTAAAAGAGACAAAACTAAGATTCATAGAGTTCTACTTTATGCCAGCATCTGCTCATTTGATGACTGGACACCATTAACCAGCAGGTATGCCTCTGGGTTTTAGAGGAACACAGATCAACCGCACTCTCTACTGAGAGGACTGTACTCACTGTTAGAGAACTAAGAAACACATGCATCCAGAATCAATAGGTAAGTGGGTTAGTGAAGCTGATGGAAAGAAAGCATATCTGAAGACCATTTTGAAACTCAGCAGAGTTTTAGTCTTCACTGAACATAGACATTGAAGTTAAGGAGCTCGTGTTAAATGTTGAAAATATCAAATGCTTTGACTCCCCTGGAATGGGTTGTTTTCCCAAAGTTTAGAATTTCTTTCTTTGTGATTTTTTTTTTATTTAGAAATTGCGGTTTTGATATGAAGTCTAAACACATACTTAGGTTGACTATGTTGTGATGATTATTATTGTGAGTATACTTTGGACACAGAAGTGAACATTTGCAAAGACAGAAAAGAGATATTGTATATGCAATATTTTGGCAGATGTGAGCACTAGTTGAAGTGTCCTATAATACGTAACCCGCAATTTTTTAACAGCTTTGTAAACGTAACTGTGACATGCAATAAACCACACATATTTAGTTTACCCCTTAATAAATTTTGGGATGTGCTTATATCCACAAAACTATCATCATAATAAGGATAATGAGTATATATCACCTCAGAAATTCGCTTATGTTCTTTTGCAATTCCTCTCTGCTACCTCTCCCCATTTCCAAAGTACTGGGGCACCCACTGATCAGCTACCACTCTAGGCCAGTTTGCATATTATAGAATCTTAAATAGAATTATACACCATCATTATGTATTTCTTTGTTTATCTTCTTTCATTCGGCATAATTATTTTGAAATTCACTCACACCGTTACATGTATTATAGTCCATTACTTTTCATTGCTGTGTAATATTCCACATAAACTCATCATAGTTTTTTAAGAAACTGTACACTATTTTCAAAATGAGTTTAATCCTTCTAACCCATGAGAATTCTTTTTACACATCCTTGCCGGTGTTTGGTGTGGTCTAGCTTTTAAATTTTGATAGTCTAGTAAATCTCTACTATAATTTCATTGTGGTTTTAATTTGCATTTTGACTAATGATGTTGGGCATCTTTTCACATGCTTATTTGCCATCCATGTATCTTTCTTGTTGAAGTATTCGTTCAAATATCTGTCCATTGTTTTATTGTGTTGTTTTCTTAAGTTTTGAGAGTTCTTTATATATTTAGAATATATATATGGTTTACTTGATAATTTTTCTTATAATGAAATGAGGATTTTGTTTAATTTTAAATTTTGAATTTTAAATTTCATATACCTGGTTTTTCTAGCCAGAGACTTAAGGTAGAAACCTGGCCTTGCTTCCTTTTTCTTTCTATTTATTCAAGTGTTCTCCAGGTCCTCACCATCTGGGCATTCAGGCATGTCCACAGTATGAGACACTGGTACCTCTAATCCTTTAGGGTGTTTTTTTTTCCTAGAGCCTCAGGGAGCTTCCTTACATGACAAACTGTACTCTGCCGAATAATTAAGGGGAATCTTCTACACATCTCTGGCATTCTCTTTGTGCAAGTCCCTTTTCTCTGGCACTCTGTCTGGCAGATTTTAGCTAATGCTATATCCTCAGACTTGCAATTCCTCTCTAACTTGGGGAATCTATTGGGTTCCATCCATTTAAGTTCTATTTTCTGAAATGTGGCCTGAAAAGTCTTTCAAGGAAGTAAGTGGGGCAAATGTAGGGTCACTTCATTTATGTTCTATTGGTAAGAGATCATTGCCCTTTATTGTGTAATGTCCAATGTCTTGAAAATTGTTTTCAAATATTTTGCAATTTTTGTTTGTGCTAGGTGGGAGGGTAAATCTAGTCCCTATTACTCCATCTGACTTGATACTAATATCTCATTAACACTTTCATTTTTATTTATGACAGTAACATTTATTGTATGCCTATTGATTTCTCTATTTTTATGTATTATTTTTCTTTCTTTGTGGTAGGCTTTGTATTTGCCTTTGTTTTATTTTTCCTTAGATTTTTTTTTTCATCCATCATATAGTCTCAGCTGCTTTTGGATAATATATTTCTACATTTATTCTATAACCGTGCTATGCTAAAAGCTGGAGTTACAGACGTAGGAATGACTTCTCTGCGTCTCCTCTGGCTTAGATTAGAAAAAGGCAAAAAAATAAAAATAAAAATCACAAAGTGTTAAGTACTTACTTTGATTCCTTCATGATTCTTATGATTTGTTTTTATTTAATGTATTCGAGGGCAGGGGCTGTCTTATTCAGTGTTAAATTCTAGTAACCAGCACAGCGTCCGGAACCCATTAGGTACTCAAGGCAAATATGTAATTACACACCAAGGGGATAAGTGCTTGTATTAATTTCTTTTTGATTCTTAACAATTGATGTTTATTATGTGTTTGAGTGCAGAAACCTTAATTTAGTGTTGAATCAATGAATGAGATAGATATCCATTGGGTATCTAGTGAAGATAAGGACACCAGTCTGGGAAGTTAGAAAAAACATGGAGAAAGTATCTTTTGAAATGAGACCTGAGAGATGAGTAGAACTTCTCCAGAAGGAAAATAGTTGAAAGTGCTTTTTAACAAAACCTTAGAAGATACAAAGAGAGTGATTCATTGAGAAACACTGAGCACTTCAGAGTGAACAGAGTAGAGATGCTGTGTATATGTGTGTATGTTAGAGTATGTGTATGTGTGCTGTGTGTGTGTGTGTGTGTGTGTGTGCATGAATGCACAAAGGGATTTTGCAGCATGGAAGAAGGGGGGAAAGAAGGAGTAGTAAATAAGATTGGAAAGAAAATAGGTGCTGCATTGTTAAGGATCTTGATAGTATGATGTGTTTGGCCTGTATTGTGGAAGCCAAAGAGAATCAACTTGAATCCTAAATTAGGATGGACTGTTTGTATCTAATAGACAGTAGAATAGTGAGTGTGTTGATAAGCAAGAAACAGAGGCAAGAAGACAAAGTTGGAGGCTATTGCATAGAAAAATGCATATATCAAGAAAAAAAATAAAAGGAAAAAAAAGGAAAAAAAAAAGAAAGAAAAATGCATATATCAATAGAACTTATAACTAAAATCTATCTGGGATAATATATTGAATAGTCCAGATTAGCATTAAGCAGGGAATTAATTATATTGTTGGAGGAAACTTTAATAGGCCATGCAATAGAAACTCATTCAGAAAGGAAAAGTATGATTTATATAATCTGAGCAGCAGAAGGGCTTGATCTTGTAATTAAGTTTTTCTTTCCATTTAATACCTTTCAAAGTATGTATTTCAAAACTGTGCTATACCTGGCTACTATAAAAAAATATTAGAGATTATCTGGTAGAACTTTTTCATTTTACCTCTTCCCCACACAGATAAGTGATGGACCTTAGTAGTACCATCTTACCCCCTCAACTTGTTTAAAATAAGATTGAAATATTATGAAAATAATATGAAATATTAAGAATACATTAATAAATAATATATGAATAATATGAAAATATGAACATGTATTCATATATGTACACATGAATGCGTATGTACACACATATTAAGCTGATATTCTCTGTTCTCTTCATCTCCTGCAATAAAATCTATGAATATCTTATT